TTGTATAAAGGCATGAAACTCAGTATTGGTAAAAATACTATTACAGCCTTTAGTCTTAGGACTAATTGTATTAAATTTGTGCCGCACCATAGCTCAAGCGGTTAGTCGTTGGCTTCCCACCGCAGCGGCCTGGGTTCGACCCTGGGTCTGGTCAAATGGGATTTTTGGTGGAGAAAGTGGCGCTGGGGCGGGTTTTCTCAGAGTACTTCTGTTTCCTCTGCCTATCTTAGTATAAACAAATTATCCATCATCATAATCACCCGGGGCAGTTACAATAGGTCAATCAGTGGCCGCCGTGCCGAGTGGACCCAGCTGGACTCCACACCCCACTAGCGAATTAAAAAGAAACTATTTCTAATAAATTTAGTTATAAATTGTGTAACATTTTTGTAGGAAGTTCCCAGTGCCTTAAGGATCTGAGAGTTTTGTTGCGCTATAAGATCTACTTTCGTAACCATGCCACTAACATTTTATTTCCATGTTTAAAAATGTTGGGTTTGATTCGGTAAATTTTATTTTATACTTCGACTGTCGGCAGTCTGTTCAATGTTCTAGCACGGGCTAATCTTTGGCACTCTTCTGTCGCCTAGAATTCCATCATATTCACTCAACAAACAAATTCCGTGGCTTTATTCCGCAAATGAACTATGCCGACTGAGCGATCGCCGCTGGTCGGCGAAGGTAGTGCCAATATTAACGGAGAGAGGGTGTCGCGTGGTCATCGCAACAAATCCCCACGGCCCTTTAATTTCGGTTTTCTAGACGAGAGCCTCTACTTTCCCATTCAAATAGCTCCAGACACACAATTTCTCAGAAAATCTGGTAGCGCCGGGAATCGAAACCGGGACCTCTGGATCGTAGCCAGAAACTGTGACCACTAGGCTATAGTGGCGGTCCCACCATATGCACTAACTTTTCTGAACTATGAATAATTTTAAGAAAATATTCAGCCTCATGCTATAGCAAATTTATTACTCTCAAATGCAACAATTAATATAAATAAATACAAATACGAGACATTAGTTAGGTTTAACTTTTCAGAACTTCAGTCCAGAGGCCAATACCTCGATGATGTAAAACAAAATTAATTCTGAATTTTTGCTTCCTGTTTGTATTTTTATAAATTAAAGGAGATTGTCGCCACAAATGTTTATTTTCAGGCATTGTTCCAATAAATGCTATTAAATCTTGATTATAACAAAAAAATCCTTTTATATTAGCACTGCAATTCATATGTAGACCGTCGCCACTTCAAATTTCCTGAGGAATCGCGTGATGGTGGCCTATCTAGACCGAAACTATTTGTTAACTGATAAATGGAAGACATTTATTCGTGTAACGGCAACCACGTCACATTTATTTACAAACTTAATTGTTCATCCATTTTCATTGCTCATACCTCGTACTTCTGGCTTTTGCGTACCTTCTAGATTCATTAGAGAATTTTCTGCTTTGGACCCTCGCAACCGCGCAAAGGCTAGTCCCTCTGCAGGATACGTCCCTGCGGTTACTGTAATGAGTTTCGTTAAGGTGCATTATTAAATGTATTTGTAATGTATGTAATACCGTGTAGCGTTTGTTCAGGAAATTGGTTNTCATTGTTGTTGTTGTTGTTACTATCGTAATCACCGTTACTACTACTACTACTGCTGCTACCACCATGATCATCATCAATATCATTGTCATGATCGTCGTCGTCGTCGTCGTCGTGTCATCATCATCATCATCAATCATCATAATCATCATCATCAAAGTAAATTTAAAAATGCTTTTAATGCGAATGAAAGGGGGCGTAACACCCCCCGTGCTTGTAAACGGAAAAGCAATATTTGTTTCCGCACTGCTGGAACCACCTGACGTGACACCCCTAACACTGTAAAGAGTGTACGCACGAAATTCGTCTCTCGGAGTGCGATAAGCAGCGCTCCGTACTCCTGTGACAAGGTAATACTCCTATCGGAGAGCGTAGCATTTACTGCTAAGCACACAGAACATTAAAGTTGTTGATCTTTTCACACTAGCTGGTCTGGCGGGCTGGTCACAGCCCCAAAGTCTTAAGAGCGTCACAAATTGCGACATCCAACAATCTGTTAAGAATCTGACAGTCACTCACCAGGCAAGAATTTATAAGTCCCATACAATCCCATCATTTGCCCTTACCTGAGCCATCTGAAATCAGTCCACATTCTCCGTCCTGTTTCTTTAAGGTACCTTTTAATATTGTTGCCTCGTCTACGCCTAGATCTCTTAAACAGTCTCTTACATGCAGGTATTCCGATAAAAAATTATAAAGATTTTCTTATTTCTTGTTGCATGATACATGTCAGGTCTATCTCATCTATCTTGATCTGGACAGCTTAACAATGCTTGGTGACAAATTATGGAGCTCCATACTATAGAATTCCTCCGTCCTTCCGATCTTCCTTCCTTTGCAGAAGCACGCAGCCTATTCTCTTTAGCATTTGGTCTCCAATATCCTCAAATTATATCCTTCCCTGAAGAAACCTGCGCAACAGGCAACGCGAAAATGGCACCGTCTGCGTCATGTTTTTCTTGTGTCCCCATGGTCAGGACTGTCAAGTTAAACACACAGTTCTCAAACGTTGCGTCGCATGTCCTGCTCCTTCGGTACAGACCCTGCTTAACTTGAAAGGTTGGCCTGATAGTGCAGTACCCTCTCGCCACGCTGCGCGCATAACAACAGCCGTTACTGCAGCCGCTCAACGGCGTCGCATGCGTTCACTGCAATTCTGCTCTCGGAACCACTCTGCGTTAGAAGCAGCAGCAAGTGGTACTCTTTGTTAAGTAGGGCCTGATATAGCTCAGTCGGTATAGCGACGGGCTATGGCTGGACAGCCGGAGTTTGATTCCCTGCCGTCAAAAGAGATTATTCTCTATTCTTCAGCGGCCGGACTGGCTCTGGGTTCTACTCACCGTCCTATTGAATGGAAACCGGGTGTTTTCTTCGGAGTTAAAGCAGACGAAGCTTGAATCTGACCTCTCATCTCCACCTTGTGTAAGGTCAAGGATGGTGGAGCTGTACCATACGTCCAACCATACGTCATAATAGCTTCATGATTAATTATTTAAACACGGGGGCAATTTTACCATTCATAAGTAATAAATGTTTAGTAATGTTGAAGAAATGAAGCCGCTAGAGTCTAATACTTTTTAAAAATGAAATTACGTGAGGAATGAAACTGATTCAGAAGAGAAGGCTCGTGTAGTTATTTTATTTGGTGCATTATACTTACTGAAAGAAAGTTCTTAAATGCATGAAGTCATGATGTTGCTTCTGTGTGTGTGTCTGTGTGTTCACCTTTCAACTTATGGATCAACAGAAAGACTGTCACAGATGTTGGTACAATCTTTATGGCACGGGAGGTCACCCCATTTTCCTATTCTTTGTTTCACATGATCTTAAACAACAACATGGCGAAGACACAAATTTTTGCGGTGAGAACGCTACTAGCGCCACTAAATGTAAGGCCCTAGAATAGTTTAGCTTAAGCGGCCTTCGTAAAATGTATAATGTATAAATTTTCATACTTGTGGAATGTAAAATAAGAACATGAAGACCATGTAAAATGTTTCTGTAGCTTTCACTTTGATAACATTAATTAATGAGGAACTGGAACTAGACACGTGACATGTTCTCAGTAAGTGGCCTGTAACAGACCTACATGTCAAGAATAGCCGGCTGTTTGCGAAGTCACACACGGACACGGTGCAGCAATTCGGGTTCATACCTTTCGACAAAAAATCACGGATACATATTCCACACTTAAGTAATAAGCTCTACAGGAAAGCAGGAAATAATGCCAACATCAGCAAAAGTAGAGTTTACAATATTTACAATAAATTGTAAATATATGTGACAGGAATAGAGAAGGTCCCTTGAGTTAAAATTTTGGTAGTGTCTTTCTTCACGACTTTTCTGAAAAATATCATTAATTATACGAGTATATATTGTACCGTAGTGTCATATTGTCTTGTCTTTCCAATTGTATTTATTTCCATCAGCACAACTTCCGCATAGACACACTATATCATAATTATCTACTACATGTTTCGCCCTTTCGATCATCCTCACATAAGCATATTTACTGTTGTTTACACTGTCACTCCTTTACATTCGGCCCAACAATTAATGTGCATACCTTATAGTGACCGAAATATAGAAACATGTAGTAGTAGCTTATTATCACATATTGTGTATACATAGAATTTGAACTATCTTCGCTCTCTCGAACACTGGAATCGTGGGTTCGAATCCCACTCAAGGCATGGATGTACGTGTGCTTTTATTCTGTGTTTGTGTTCTTCTATGTGTAAGTAGGGCCTTTCGACGGGCTGATCCCCTCTCAAAGGGGTCCTATCGACGGCGTATATGATTAAGAAACTGAAAAAGCGGCCAAGGACCAACAAAAGGACTGTAGAGCTATAGAGAGAGAGAGACAGACAGACACACACACACACACAGATAGATAGATAAATTATATTGGTGAAAATAAATATAATTACGAATTGTCTTGCTGCTTAGCCAATTCTTATCATAAAGCAACCGGTTACTGTTCCCTTAAAATGCAAAATACTAACAATTCTACACGCCATTACTGCAATTTCTGCTGCTTGTGATGCTGCTTGTGATGCGGCAGTCACTGTGTGCATCAGTCGCATCGCGCCGCACGGGTTTACTGCACCAGCGACATCATCTGAGTGACAGCTTGAGTTTAAATCTCGGGAATCTGGGGGATTTGTGCATTTCAATTTATTCCTTAATTTTTCTTGTCCTCGCATCATGCAGGACTGTGACGGAAGGCTCAGGTTCCGAAAGCAACATAAAGGAACTCCCAAAAATTAATTAGTCATAAATCTTTTGAGTTTCCGTGCAGGTATTGCGCAGAAGGGAGCAAATTGCTTGCGCTAGACAACCAAATTTCTGTGCTCTATTTTAGAGATGGAATACTGTTTAGCCAGTCAAATAATTTTACACATACCTGCTAGCAGGTGACCTTCAGAATTTTTCTTTAGTGGTCCGACTTGAAAGCACTTCGAAGGCAGGAATATGGATGTTACGACAGAGCGTGTCCTGCAACAAGAACAATATTTACAGTTAGGACCATACTGCAGATATCCTGATATGAGAAAAATGACATAAGCTCTACTGGCGAGGCAAACGCATGCACATGTAAGTCTTGCCTAGAGCAGTAACTGCATTTCAGTCATTATTTTCTTTAACCCTCTTGATACAGTTAGTTCAGCTGTAGGTTACATGATATTGTGAGCCAGTCATATCACTGACGTCATAATCATTGAGGCATCCCAGGACTTAACACAGCATCCCTCTACTGCTGGAAATCACGTTTTATTACAACGGAGTTTGTTTATAAGCAGAAATGGTGAGGGGTTTGGGCTGATCCCTTGCAAGTCTCAGTTTACTAATTTTATCTTCATGTCACAGCATATGCACCATACCTCACTAAATTACTTGGCTGAAATTAAAGTGCATTTTAACTGAAGTCTACTGTTAAATGACTTGACGAATTTACATTAATATTGCCATTAAAACGACACCGATCCTGGCTGTGATTGTAAACACTGAAAACAAAGTGATACAGCGACGATTCCAAGATATTGTAAACACTACAGATGGAATAGAAGTCTTTCATATTCAATGGCTGGCTTTTTATAAAATCACTTCCAGGGTAATGTGTTCTGTTAACTACTTGCAGTGCTAAAGGTCAAGACCACAAACGTCCATTCTGTGGCCTCCGAGCATAGTGCGGGCAGAGATGAAACATATGACAGGCGTATCATAAATAAACCTTAAATAATTAATCTATACCTTGAATGAAGAATGCGGTGTTCTGGAATGTGGCGCCGTGCAGATATTGTGTAAACCGACGTTCCCCAGAAACGTCGGTTTACACAATATTTACACGGCGCCACATCCCAGAAGACGGCGTTCTTCATAGTCACCGCCGTGAAAATCTCAAATATTATATATCTTGAATGTTATGAATACTTTCTTATTATTCGAAAGAATCATTTTATTTTGTTCAATTTAAAATTTTAAAAGTATTTATACAAACTACAGAACTACCAAGATTTCTTTTCAAGAACATTCATGCGGTTTATAAAAGGAAATATTTTTTTTTTTTTGGTTAACACACTTAGGTCATGATCATTGGAGCTCGACTTCTGCTTCAATGTATCTATAGAAATATTTCCACAATAATGATGCATTTATTTATTTATTTATTTATGTATTTATTTATTTATTTATTTATCACCAACCACTTTAAGTGGGTATATGTGCACCAGGGCATGGCGCGTCCTCACGATGTGGATGGAGGAGACGGCCTCCAGATATGGAGGAGAAACTCGAATATACCGAATAGGATGTAGCGAATAACTGAAAAGTGGTGTTTCTCAAGCTTGGGGGTTGGGCGTAGGGTTTTAGCTTCTTAGCGAAAAAAGGGCACTGTGTTACGAAATATTAAACAGGACCTCGGACCTGGACGGATTCTTTGGAACGCGATAAGAAAAGGAAAATGGACATAAGATTTGGCACATGAAATATAAACACAAAAGCTCTAACCGGCACTAGAAACGCTGTTGGTCTAGAAGTAAACACAGAGAAAACTACGTAAGTTGATGTCTCTTCAGCAGAATGCAAGGCAAAAACATAACATAAAGATAGCTAACAGATACTTTGAAAATGTGGCACAGTTTAAATATTTGTGAGCGACAGTAAATAATCAGAAATTGAGGATAAGAGGAGACTAAATTCGGATAATTCCGGCTACCACTCAGTTCAGAGCCTTTTGTCTTCTCTTAGACTAAAAACGCAAAAATTATAACATAAAAAGTCATAATTTTACCTGTGGTTTTGTATGGGTGTGAAACTTGGGCTCTGACATTAAGGGAAGAACACAGACTGAGGGAATTTGAGGGCAGGGAGCTGGGGAAGAACATTTGGACCAAAGACGGATTAAGTAATTGGAGGCTTGGGAATACTCCTCGCCAAATACAGTCAAACAAATACAATTAAAATGATCGAGTCAAGTAGCATGAGCTGGGCAGGGCATGCGGAAAACATGGAGGAAGCTAGAAGGAAAGAGACCACTAGGAAGACCTAGATGTAGGTGAAAAAATAACATTAAAATTCACGTTAAGAAAATAGGATGGGACAACATGGGCTGGATTAATCTGGCTCAGTGTACGGAGCAGTGAAGAGCTCTTGTGGGGGAAAAAGAAAATCGGGTTGCACAAATTGCTTGTAAACTCTTGAGTACTTGAACACATCCACGCAATTACATTTTCAATTATGGTTGTTTTATCCACGCTGTCAGTAGCAAAGTTTACATTGTGTCGGATTGTAGAATGATTAAGGAATGCCGAGCAGGAAATGATGTAGGAGGAATCGATCGTGGCCTATTTCATGGTACCACCCCGATGTTGGTTTGAAGAGACTGAGAAAGAAACGAAACCCTAGCAGGCTACTCAGCGTCTCGGTCGAGAATGAAACCGAACGCATCCCGAAAACAAGACAGAAATATTACCGCCCTAGTAAATTTTGGGTCACACTGAACACATGATCTTGTTCGTTTCGGTTCCATTTAGGCCCATATCAATGAAGATGGACTTTCAGCAGTAATAACAAAATCTTGACATCAACATCAACGGATCGGTTGAGCACTAAAATTGCTCTACAATGTTGGCTGTATATTAATTCTACCTGATGAGATATGTCAATGTTACCAATTAAATTTTAATTTTAAAAGGGAACATGTTGAATATTCATTAATTTTTTGAGTAAAATTGCAGTTGTGATATTACTTTATATTCGGTTTATCAAAATGAAAGAGAAATGAGTTATTCCATTTATACACACAACATGTCTGTTGCCACATGCCCATTTGAATGCTTGGAAATGGCTTGGGATCCTAACACTGCTGAACAAGTCTGGCTTACACCACTGACCTCTGAAATGTACTAAGCAAGCGGCGAGTGGTTTTAATATTTGTTTAAAGAATATTGCGAATGTTTCCTCCCTGCGTACGGCCCTCAGCCAAACCAAATAGAACTAGTGGCTGTCTTTGTTAACTCCGCTGCATACACCTGTCTTCTGTAACATTTATTGTATCTTGAAAGAACATAAACCTATCGTTATCGTAACTACGGCAGCAAATATTATGAACCGCGGAAAGCCTGATTTCATACGAGAGGGTGAATAAAATGGTGAAATTCATATTTCTACATAAACTAGCTCAAGATATGAAAATTTATGTTCCACTAAACACGTAAACCTCCCGAGCACACATGTCCAGTAACTCTTTCTTATGTACCGGAAGACACCAAGATAGCACTCAACAAGGCTGTACCATCAGCCCTGAATTTAATCCATGAAATATAAATACTCTGTGGGCTATTGTCACTTGAACGGGTGTCTCTTATAACTGGTAGTTCTCCAGCAACTGTTTCCTTCTACGAGAGATTTCTGATAATTTGCGAGCTAAAATCATTCCGTCACATAAACCACATATAGGCATATACGAGTATATGCCAGGCTAATACATTTAAGACAACATACTCCACATGTAACGTTCTAATAAAATATATACGGAAAAACGTGTTAAAGGAAATAGGCCAAAAAATATAGTCCTCTTTTTTATTAGTCCTACATAGGCCTACTCTACTGTAAGACCCATCTATCCGTTTTAAAATTACACAGCCACGGTATTCAGCACGTAAAGTATTCAACTAGGCTGAATAACCAGGAATTCTACGCCACGTAGGAGTTTTGTTGCTATTTTCTTCAATCCAACACTTCCAAATCTAATTAAAGTTCTTTTGACCAAGTAAAGACGAGTCAGTAACTTCTAAAACTCACATACACCTTGAGGCAGTAATGATTAGGAAGACAAAGCGGAAAATTACTCCGTTTAATGTTCGTAGTTTATCGGAGAGCAAACTGAGGGCATCTTGAGGAGGTGAAGATGATTCAGTTGGTCAAGAACCTCCCCGCCTTTTTAGGTGTTTATTACCGCATTCACAAGAGGATATCAGAATTGTTTTACTTCAGGAACATACACACACATAAACACTTCAGTTTTTACGCAGAAGAGGACAGGCCTAATTTCAGTCTCCACATTTCCACTGCGTCTTTTACCTATCTCCAAAGGGCTTTGGGGGTTATTTATATAAATTCAGACAGGTCTACAACAGCCTAATTTTCTTGTCCTTCAGCAGAAACAGCTTAATTATTAAAAGAACAGATCAATATATTATACTAAAAGGTTCTGGTATATTTTAGCAGTGTCCAAGAAGACCCGCTGCCCATAAAACGTAAAAAGAAAGTAAAGGTATCCCTGTAAGTGGCCGTGAAGGCCCATAGGGTTGTGAGACGTTGAGAGTCCCACATTACCTAGAAAATCGGCTCAAAGATGGCGGTAAGATTGTAAGCCTTACGCTCCGGCTGCACTTTACTTCCCAGGAAAATTATTTAATTAATTCCTGGTACTAGACGCTGAGTCGACCCCAGGGCCATAGTGCGGCTGGAAGGATAAGGTCAATTGAAAAAATCCAATGACTTCATCGGGACATAATTTTAATTTTATATGAAAGTACACTCTCTCTCAATATATCCTGTGATTAAAGCCATACAAGTCCAAAAGCGGGTAAAAAATAATTAATTTAAAATTTCTAAACGAAATTTAACAAAATGCAAAAATATGTAAATCATCTGTTCCGAGGATATCTATAACAATTTTTGTTAGTTAATTTTATTCTGCTTTATTAATTAACATAATGTTAAGAGCCCAACGACTTCCACTGCTTATGGAACTATAGAAGCATTACAGCTAATGCACTTTGGATGTGTATCATAACTTGCAGATAAAACGATTAACTACTCGTGTACCCTTGTGTAGTAGAATGACCGTTTGCTTTCAGATGTAGTCACTTAAGGGAATCGTCATCATTTTTCTGACAATAACACACAAATCACACAGTGCCCAGCCTTGGCTTATGAAGGCACTAAAACAACAAAATAAAAACGCAGAATAAAGCAGTGTTTATTGGGTG